ATACAGAGAGAAGGCCACGTTGTTTGATGAATACTAGGTGCTACATTGCATATTGAGGGCTATCTTTAGATCTTGTAGGAGCTATCTTTAGATGGCCACATTGATGAATACTAGGTGCTACATTCATATTGAGGGCTATCTTTAGATCTTGTAGGAGCTATCTTTAGAATGCCACATTGTTTGATGATGGCGCTGAGAACGAACAATGGTCGTGTCATGATGAGAAAGTTGTGCATTTAAGGAGAGAGTAATTGTGATGTCCCTAATATAGTCCCAGTACACCTAACAGATGTAGAGACTTCAACGAGACTGATTGGTAACTCATGAGGATCAACTGAAATAATGACTAGTAATTTTTTTATAATGATTTAAACCAAATAATATTATCACATTCAGTGAGCCTCAGGGCTTACATTGCAGTAACGGGCTCAAGGCACGACATCATCCGGTTCTTAAGCTCAATCAGCTTGACTTGTACTCGTAACTAGTTTCAGCGCATGCTAAATTTTTTTGGTACGTGGAACCTTCACCAGGACTAAGAGGTAGCCGCTCATCCCTCGTGACTAGTGACCGCCCATGCTCCTGATATCTCATTTGCACGATAAAATTATAAATGATCCACATGATGGGTTTCAACGTGATTTCCTACGACAAATGTCGCACACAATATATAGTACGATTCATTTTTACATGAACGAAAATGCCTCAAGATTAAAGCGTGATTAGGAGAACACGAAACCCAACCCAACCCGTTTCATTGTAACGTGTTAAAGCGCGGCTAGGAGGGTACCAAACCCGACCCGACCCGGCCCTTGTGCCCTAATCTCAGCTACCTCACATCACATGCAATATATTAAAGATTTTAGTTTAGCAAGGATTAAATTGTAAGGTCATATGTATCATTTACTTATTCTTGGCCTTCTAGAGAAGGCATTCTCTTAAGTATGAGACCAGTTCAAAGGTCCATCGTATCACATGGCATGTGGGGGGTTTTCATTACCAATGGCATGGATGGATCTATGTGCTCAATTCCTTTAATTATCTTTTTCTTTAAATTAAAAAAAAAAATCGGAGTACTTCCTTTTACGGTTTCATATGAGAGCTTGAGAACAGTGTCGTCAATCCGTGCTCTTTATAATCCCATTTATTTATTATTAATATCATGTTAGGGACTAAAGTCCCACATCGGGTAGTATGGGCTGCTTGATGGGGTATTTAAGTGACTTGGTTCTTCCCCCTTAACAGCTAGCTTTTAAGGGTGGGTTCCCCAAGTTGCTTGGATCCTAACAATTGGTATCAGAGCTGGTTGTCGGCGTCACGAAAAAGGCTACATGTGAAGGGGCTGACCAGCGGAGGGGCTGACCGGATAAGTCCGAGTAAAGCACCACCGAGTGAAGCATCATAGAGTGCAGCCGCCGGGACGTCAGCTCTCAGGGGCGGTGCTATGTTAGGGACTAAAGTCCCACATCGGGTAGTATGGGCTGCTTGATGGGATATTTAAGTGACTTGGTTCTTCCCCCTTAACAGCTAGCTTTTAAGGGTGGGTTCCCCAAGTTGCTTGGATCCTCACATATCATATGATGATAATATATAATTAACTACTTAGGATGCTACCTGAGAGGTTGGATTGTCTAATTAAATAATTAATTAGAGGCCACGGGATTGTTAATGCCGCGGCATTTTTGTGGTTAGGGATCTGCTGTTTTGCTCCAAACAGCTAACGCTATACGTGTATGAGTGTATCTTAGTTAACTTACTATGCTCTCTTTTCTTTTCTTTTTTCCTTTTTTCTCTTTTTTGCCCCTTTTCTTTGTCCCCTTTTTTAGCTTTTGACATGCTGGAGTCAAGATCAGAAAGCCGCGGGTTTAGATATAGGACCCATGCAGCTCAATTAGCTCAGTTTGAAACGAGCTCGGAGTAGAGCCATAGTCAAATTGGAGCATGGCTCAAGGGCACAATCCCACTTTATACAAAGTGATGCAGGAGATTAAGTATTGGACGAAACGAGAAGAAAAAGCAATCGATCAAGTGTTGGACGAGACGAGAAGAAAAGCAGTCGAGACGACATCAGCGGATGACGACTCGACATCTCAACTCGAGTCGAGGCGACAAGACGAGACGACACACCCCAGTCGACAGTCGAGACGACAGGACGAGACGACACACCCCAGTCGACACGAAGGGCGGTGTTAGTCAACACATGCCAGTCGACACGAAAGGCGTTACTACTCGACACGACTCGTGTCGACTCGGAGACAGATTAGGAAAGTTTCATATTTTTTGGTTATTTCCTTTTAAATTCGGGCTTTCTTTTTAATTAGGGTTAGGATAGGATTAGTTGGCTATAAATATTAGTTTATTTTGTAAATCGAGAATTAACTTTTTAATTATTGAATCAAGAGAAATTTCTCCATTGTTTTCTTCCCTAAGTATGGAAAAATTAGGGCTTGTGGATTCAATCTTGTTATCTACCTGTTATTGTCAGGGCTCGTCGACATTGGAACGATATCCGATCGGTGTTCCTGTTTCTTCGTCTGCGTCAAGTGGTATCAGAGCTTGGGCTTCAACATCCTCGACAATGGAAGGTGACGGCGAGAAGGAGCTTTCTCTACAAGATCTTTCCGCGAGGATGGATTCTATGGATGGAAGATTTGACACGTTGGAGGCGTCTCTTCAGAACCTTAAGCAAGCCATTGAAGGACTTATCCTTCACCTCAACAATGGGAATAACTTCATTGACGGTCTTCACCTAAGCGGACCCAGAGTTAGGCTACCCCCGACATCCACCCCCATACAATCCTCAAACCCCTGCAGTTCAACCCCCTCCAAATCAACCATGTCCAAACCAACCACCTCCATATCAACCCCCTCCATATCAACCCCCTCCACCCCCATGATGATTACAGCGACGACAGAGTGGACTATGGTAACCAATTTGAATGGTCATGGTATGATAACGTGTCGAGCGAAGAACAGGGAGATTGACCTTATGACAGAGGTCGGGGTAGAGGCTTCAACCCTCGTCACAACTACCATCGACAAGACCGACATCAATAGGAACAAGAATATCAGATGAAAGTAGAGCTTCCTTCCTTTAGAGGAAATCTGGACATAGAGGCTTTCCTGGATTGGCTCTATGAAGTGGAGAAGTTTTTTTGAAATGACTAATATTATCGAAGCAAACCAGGTGAAGTTTGTGGCATATCATCTCAAAGGAGGAGCCGCGGCATGGTGGGATCAGACTCAAAACACTAGGCGACGGCAAGGCAAGCAACTAGTTCGGGTTTGGCGACGCATGAAGCAGTTACTACAAGCTAGGTTCCTACCACCCCACTACCAACAAATTCTCTACAACCAATTCGAGCAATGCCGTTAAGGAATCAGATCAGTAAGCGTCTATACCGAAGAGTTCTTCTGTCTTACCTCTCATTGTGATTTGTCTATGAGTGAAGAGTAACTCGCGGCCAAATATATCGAAGGTTTAAAGTAGTCAATTCAAGAGAATGTGGCCATCCACAACGTGTACTCTGTGGACGAAGCCCATAACATGGCTCTCAAGACGGAAAGATTATCCTCCAAAGCGTTACCTTTCAGACAAACCGAATAGGGAGGTTAGGTCGAGAAGGCGAGAGGAGAGTCAGCCAGGCAAAGGACGATTGATCGTCCTGTTCCTCCACGGTCGACCGAGCGGTCGACAACTCAACCATAGCCCCCGACGACTCAAGCAAGTCTGTATGCCAAGCCAACTGTAGAGAAGTGTTTCTGATGTCTCCAACCAGGGCATAAGTCCAACGAGTACCCACAGCGGCGGAAGGTCAATCTTGCGGATTATGAGAAAGCTGAGGATGGACACACAGCATCTGAAGAAGAGTATGAGGAAGAGGTTGTCGAGATTGAAGACGACAATGTGTTGTGTGTTGTTCTACGACTCCTATGCGCTCAGAAGACACCAGATTCATCACAACGACACCAAATTTTCTTTTCTAGATGTTCAATCAACAACAAGGTGTGCACCCTTATCATTGACAATGGAAGCTGTGAGAATATTGTGTCAAAGGCCTTGGTGGATCACTTGAAATTACCGACCGAGACCAAGCATATGCCTTATACCATCGGATGGATCAAGAAGGGTCCCTCCATGAAGGTGACTGAAGTATGCCGCGTACCACTATCACTAGGAAAGACTTATAGTGATTCTGTTGCTTGTGATGTTGTGGATATGGATGCATGCCATGTATTGTTGGGACGACCGTGGTAGTATGATGTTGTCTAAGCATGGCGGCAAGAAGAACGAGTACTCTTTTGTGTGGATGAATAAAAAGATCATCATACCATCTATTCCACCCTCTCCAAAGAGCCTCAAATATCAAAATTCCAAACATATATCTCTTTGTAACAAGGGAGAGTTTCTGGCCGAGTCAAAAGAGTTAAAGCAGAGGTTTGTCTTAGTGGTGAAGGAGGAATTAAAGACGCTCATGGAGGTTCCAGATAAGATGAAGTTACTACTTAAGGAGTTCGAAGTGTTGATTCCTGAAGAGCTACCCGAGGAACTTCATCCCATGAGGGATATTCAGCACCACATTGATTTCATTCTGGGTTCAGTGCTTCCTAATCTCCCTCATTATCACATGAACCCGCAGGAGAAGAAGATATTACAGGACACCATTGAGGACCTTATTAAGAAAGGCCACATCCGAGAGAGTATGAGTTGGCCGAGTCAAAAGAGTTAAAGCAGAGGTTTGTCTTAGTGGTGAAGGAGGAATTAAAGACGCTCATGGAGGTTCCAGATAAGATGAAGTTACTACTTAAGGAGTTCGAAGTGTTGATTCCTGAAGAGCTACCCGAGGAACTTCATCCCATGAGGGATATTCAGCACCACATTGATTTCATTCTGGGTTCAGTGCTTCCTAATCTCCCTCATTATCACATGAACCCGCAGGAGAAGAAGATATTACAGGACACCATTGAGGACCTTATTAAGAAAGGCCACATCCGAGAGAGTATGAGTCCATGCATAGTTCTGGCCCTGTTGACACCAAAGAAAGATGGGAGTTGGAGGATGTGTGTGGACAGTCGAGCCATTAACAAGATTATAATTCGCTACAGGTTCCCAATCCCTCAGCTAGACGACATGTTGGATCAGTTAGGAGGCGTGAGCGTATTTTCGAAGGTTGACTTGAGGAGTGGCTATCATCAGATCCGAATTCGACCCGACGACGAGTGGAAGACTGCATTCAAGAGTAGTGAGGGCCTTTACCAATGGTTGGTGATGCCTTTTGGGTTGTTGAACGCTACAAGTACATTTATGCGTTTGATGAACCAAATTCTAAAGCCTTTCTTGGGAAGATTTGTAGTCATCTACTTTGATGACATTCTCATCTATAGTCGAGATGAACATGAGCATATGTTGCATCTCCGAGAAATCTTCCAAGTGCTAAAGGTGAATGAACTTTGCATCAACCTTAAGAAGTGTGTGTTCTTGACGACTCAACTTATGTTCTTGGGATTCGTGGTAAGCTCGTGGGGAATCCAAGTCGACGAGGACAAAGTTAAGGCAACCAAGGATTGGCCGACTCCAACAAGTGTTACGGAAGTAAGAAGCTTTCATGGGCTAGCATCTTTTTATCGGCGTTTTATTTACAATTTTAGTTCAATAGTTGCTCCCATGATGGATTGCTTGAAGAATAAGGGTGTTTTCGAGTGGATCGATAAAGCAAATGCAGCTTTTGCCTTTATCAAGGAGAAGATTACCACTGCACCTATTTAGCATTTTTGAATTTTGACAAGCTCTTTGAGCTTGAATGTGATGTGTATGGTGTCGGTATTAGAGCAGTTCTCTCTCAAGAGAAGTGACTCATTACATTCTTGAGTGAGAAGTTTAATGAAGCTCGACAGAAGTGGAGTACTTACGAGCAGGTGTTGTATGTTGTTTTTGGTTCTTTGAAGACTTGGGAGAGTTACCTCATTGCTAACGATTTCATGATCTACTCCAACCATCAGTCTCTTCAACACTTTAAGAATCAGAAACACATCAACAAAATGTATAGATGATGGGCTTCATACTTTGAACAGTTCAATTTCACTTTGCGACATATGTCAGGAGTCGACAATAAGGTGCCTGATACATTGAGTCGGCGGGTATCTTTATTAAGCATATTGCGAGGTGAAGTTGTTGCTTTTGACAATTTGAAAGAGCTTTATGTTGATGATGAAGATTTTCAGGAGGTTTGGGCAAAGTGTTTGACAAGAAAACCCACAAAAGACTTTATTATTATTGACGACTTTTTGTTTAAAGGAAATCGGCTTTGTATTCCAAAGACGTCAATGAGGAAAAAGATAGTTCGAGACTTACATGGTGACGGACTTGGTGAACACTTTGGGCGAGACAAGACTGTTTTGAGTCTTGAGGAGAGATACTATTGGCAGAGTTTGAGGAAGGATGTGGCAACACTTGTGAGGAGCTGTCAAGTATGCCAAGTTGCAAAGGGACAAGTGCATAATACTGGTTTGTATACTCCTCTACATGTGCCCAAGGATATATGGGAAGGTTTGAGTATGGACTTTGTGTTGGGGCTTTCCCAAACACAAAGAGGCGTGGATTCAGTCTTCGTGATAGTGGATCACTTTTCTAATATGGCTCACTTCATCTCGTGCCGCAAGACTTTGGTTGCACCACATGTTGCACGGCTATTCTTTCAAGAAATGGTTCGACTACATGGTGTTCCTAGTTCGATTGTTTCGGATAGGGATACTAGGTTCTTAGAGACTTTTCGGACTACTTTATGGCGACAATTTAACACTTCATTGAAGTATTTTAGTATTGCACAACCTCAAACGGATGGACAAACAGAAGTGGTCAAGCGGACTTTGGGAAAATTGATTCGATGCATTTATGGAGAGAAACCAAAGATGTGGGATCAAGTTATACCTCAAGCTGAATTTGCCTACAACATGACTGTTCATAGTTCTACATGTATGCCTCCTTTTTCTATTGTTTACAGGAAGACACCTCGACATCTCCAAGTTTTGTTGAATTTGCCGACAAGTAGCAAGTTCAGCGAGGCAGCAAGTTCAATGGCCGAGAATGCTTTCAACGTTCAGGAGGAAGTGCGTACAAAGCTCGAGGAGGCTAATGCAAAGTTCAAGGCGCGAGCGAACAAGAAAAGGCGACTCAAGGTGTTCAATGAAGAAGACATGATGATGATATACTTACGAAAAGAACGGATGCCGCCTGGAACTTATAGCAAGCTTAAGCCGAAACGATATGGCCCATTCAAGATTCTCAAGAAGATCAATGATAATGCATATGTAGTGGATCTTCCAGAAGGAATGGCTATATTGATGATATTTAACGTGGCGGATATTTCTGATTATCATCCTTCAATCAAGTTGTATTCGAGTGATGCGAACTCAGAGACGAGTTCTTCCGAAGAAGGAGGGGCTGATACAGGAGATCAAGTATTAGACGAAACGAGAAGAAAAAATAACCGATCAAGTGTTGGATGAGACGAGAAGAAAAGCAGCCGAGACGACTTCATCGGACGACAACTCGACATCTCAACTCAAGTCGAGGCGACAAGACGAGACGACACACCCCAGTCAACAGTCGAGACGACAGGACGAGTCAACACACCCCAGTCGACACGAAGGGCAGTGTTAGTCGACACATGCCAGTCGACACGAAAGGCGTTACTACTCAACACGCCTCGTGTCGGCTCGGAGACAAATTAGAAAAGTTTCATATTTTTTTGGTTGTTTCCTTTTAAATTCGGGCTTTCTTTTTTATTAGGGTTAGCATATGATTAGTTGGCTATAAATATTAGTTCCTTTTGTAAATCGAGAATTAATTTTTCAATTATTGAATCAAGAGAAATTTCTCCTTTGTTTTCTTCCCCAAGCTTGGGAAAATTAGGGCTTGTAGATTCAAGCTTGTTATCTACTTGTTATTGTCAGGGCTCGTCGGCATCGGAACGATATCCGATCGGCCTCCCCGTTTCTGCGTCTGCGTCACAAAGAGTGGGAAAACGTCCCCACAAAAATTATCTACCGAGCTAAACATATTGCATGTATTATATGTTCTGGAAATGTAGCTTTAATATTATCCTATATGGTGTGTTTGGGAGTTTACTTAGGGAAGGGAAGGAAGGGGAAGGAAGGGGAAGTTTTCTCCTTCCTTCCCTTCCCCTCCATTACACCCCAATTTGGGGTGTAAGAATTTGGGCCAAATTTCCCCTCCATTCCCCTCCTCTACCCTCCAAAATGAAACTCCCAAACAAGGTTAAAATGAAATTTCCCTTCCCTTCCCCCTCTCTACCCTCCATCCAAACAGGCCAATAGTTTTAATCTAATATATAAGTTGATTGGTCTGTTTAAGAAAGGTGATACCTATCACGTCTCAGGATTGCCACCGAGTGCAACCCTATACTTTCCAGGAGGTCACTGATCATGATAATGCTCTCGCATGAGGATGATTAGCTATTAAATCATTGTTGTGTTTTAGGTTTCTAAATTTTCTATTAAAACAATAAACTTTCTATTAAAACCATCAATACATCTTCACACAATCAATGTGGAACTAGTTGCACTTGGCTTCCTAGGCTTTCTATTAAAACCCATCAATATGCCCTCACACAAACTAACGTGGATTGTTAGCGCGCGGGGCCTCACAATAACTAAACCTCTTCTCTGGGCAATCTATAGATTATTACAATCAATCAATCACTTGTTGGCATGGACATGTATGGGTCGCGTACGTGGATGTGTACGTACGTGCCTATGTGTGAGTGTGTCGTGTGCATGTTACCATGTATGCAAGTGTGTATACTTCTATGTATTTGTATACATGTCCTTCTACGCATTACATAATACTACATGTATGTCCTTCTATGCATTACATAATACTCCACAGTTGTTTTTAGTCTCAAACTCTAACATATAGTTCTCATCTAAGTACTTGTAGGCATTTAAATCTAGGTTCATTGTTAGAAACAGAACGAGGTAAAATTGAATGGAACAATTATATTCTTAGGTACAAGAGATAAATGAGGAAACAAATAGGATGAAATATGACGATCGGATGTTATTATGGTCAATATTACTGTACTTTCATCACTTTCTCTCTGTAAGATTTTTCTTCTCATATTAATTAGTCAACATAAGTTTTGTGCAAACAACTCAGCTTTGTACGGATAATATACCATGTGACAGAAGCGTTCACTGAAAAAAAAAATGAAAGGTAGGCATATGACTATTTCCATCACTCGTTGGAGTTCAATTTCTTCCTTTCTTATGAAAATTCATCCGGTTGCTGAAGTGGGAAGTCGACTAATTATATTCATAATGCATTTACTTTAAGATGTTGGTAAAGTTTAGATCCTTAATAGACATACATATCAGAGATAGGAGATCTTCCGTACATAATTGCATCCGTATTCATGTTGGTTGGTGGCTTGACAACCCTCATGATTCCTCTACACACGGAAATGAATACAGCTATACTTGCCCACCCCTCAACACCCCTCACCAATTTGGTTTAAAATTTTCCATGTCGCATGTAAGCAACAATAACCGGATAAATATACATAATACTGGATTTTTTTTTCACAATCATTAAAGAATATACTACTAAAGGCTATTATCTTGGGTAATATTTTGCGTATTAAGTTCCACGATGAATACATCTGATACTGTGGATTGCATTAAGTTACTCTAGTATTTGGTTTTGTCAAGTTTCTCAATAAACTTTATCAACAACGACGCAGCCTTTTTTCCAAATTTTCAATCTTATCACTTCTCCTAACTTGAGTATTTATTTACCGATCTCTATTGCACTTGACTATATAATCTTAATCGGTTCTCTCTCATTCTACCATCAATTGAGCTACATCTAACCTCATAGTGATGCGCTCATTTCTTTCCTATCATATAGATGCAACTTGGTTTTACGTTGCACTGTCACCCCATTTATCCTGTCCTTACTTGAGATAGTGAGGAAAAACATTAAAAACACAATTCTAACTTCAAAGTCACTACTCAAAAATCACAACTTATACATTATTACATTTTAAAAGGAAATTACCAAGCTAGGTATCAAGTAGTTTCGTATCGACGCTTTTCACCTTCATTTTCATTTCTTCCCCCTAAATACCACAATCTATATGTACACACATAGCTGTGCGAGCCTCAAATCACCGATTGGAAATGAACTCCCATAACAAAACTACAGTCCATATATTACCACACAAAGTAAAATAGGCACACAGAAATGACTTGCTTGCCTCCACTGCCGTTACTCAGCAAAATAAACAATATACTTTTTTAACAAGGCGATTATACTACTTAAATATCACGATTTACATAATAATTGAACTAAAACCCTGTAGTCTAGATAACCACACAACACTACAACTCAAATTTTTACTTCGAAGTTTTCTTTTGTTTTTTTTTTTCAATTTGATGCATTCCGGTAATCCTGAAAACTAAAAGTCATGCCCTCGGGAAATTCTTCTTGAATTTCAGGGGTGACTGTTGCTCTTGGTCTATCTGAACTCCGATCATGGATTGACCACCAACAAACTCAAAATGGCAATACATAGTAAACCGTAAATGCTTCTTGTTGAATATCTGTAAAATTTCATGAATCAGCACAACTTCTGAAAGCTAATTTTGTATAAATAGTAAATTTCAAAACGCAAAATAAACTAAAAGTAAATGAGAGACGTAAGGTTCCCCTTTGGCAAACTTATGTCCATGTACACAAATGTTGAAAGAAAAGAGTTGAACAAATCTAGATCAGAAATCAAACAAGTTGGTTACATCAATACAAAACAAACTAATATACGAAGGTTGCTCGCAACATTTATAATGAAAATGGAGATCAACCTTAAAACGCATGTGAATACTTTCAACCCATGAAAAGGCTCCACAAGCAGCCAGAAGCCTGAATTATTTTTGTTAAATAAATATAAAAGGAGAACCGAGCTATCTGCCTTCAACAAAAAATAAGGAATTGCCAAAGAAGATGCAAAAAGAATATTAAAGAAGAAGAAGCTATAAACCGAGATACCTACCTAATTCCTTGTAGTCTTCCCTAACTTGCGTCCCTTCAGTTCAAGTGTAAGTAGATCATGGGCCTCAAAGAACTTAACTGTATGTACTTTTTCTCTAACTAAGGCTACCTTTATCTACCTATTTACCCAACCAGTTCCATTCAGGGTATGATGATAAGGCACCTTACATATATGGGGTCTTATTTTGTTAAATAAGCCACCAAGAAGATCAGTTGTGTGGATTACCCATCCAATGTAACTAGCAGGATGTGTCGCATCACTAGTCCATCTTTATGTAGCTTATATAGCAAAATCATTGCCACCTAGTACTCATACGCACGTGAGTGCACATGTACACATACAAGAAAATAGGATTTGAAGTGATGGTCTATTTAGCAAAATGAGATGCCAAGAGATAGGACTATGGGTGATAAGATCTGTATCTGCTCAATGGAGCTAGTAAGGTGAGCTCACAACTAGCCTATTTCTTGTTGCGACTAAGCAAAATGAGCAATCACACCATACACATTTTTCCCAGTAGGACGGTAGAGGATTGAACAATGCTTTTTAGCATATAAAGCTGTCCAAAGCCTTTTCAAGTTTCAGGCTGTTGTCATTATAATGACCCACTGGCTCTATGAAGATGTGGAATTCTAATAAAAAGAAAAGATGTGTATGCAGAAGATCATGAAGTTCTTTATTCGCCTATAGGAAAATGTTTTGAAGCAAATGGTTAACAAGTATGATTTTCTTCTATTCATCTAAGAACCTCAAATGTTTTGAAGCAAATAGTTAACAAAAGTATGATTTTCTTCTATTCATCTAAGAACCTCCTTGATATCAATAAACAAACAACGTAAGTTTCTACAAATCTCCGAAGGAACTCGAATATTTAAAACTTCGGAATCTAACATTATAAAGGTGACTTGATCAGGGAAAACTGCAAGAATGTGCATGACCAGTCTTGAGATGACACTTATGACTACTAAACCAAATAAACAAACCAACCTCTGATTTCAATAGTTGATGTGCCATTAGGCATTCTCTTAGTGTGTTGCTATGATATGAGGACAATTCCCTTAGCCAGGTTGTGGGGTCCATCCACTCAAGACATGCGACAGGTATATTATT